AATACTTCCATGGGGGAGGTATGGATAATTTTTGGAATCAAATAATATAATCTTAGCTAACATTAGTGAGCTTAAGTAACAATAATGGGAGGGCAACAAGAACTGCAAAAAAGCAATAGGTTTACATGTAGACTGGCAGAACAACAACTTTGCATGTGCATCATGTTTTTTTGTGCATTTTTTTGCTGTCACAGCACGACTACCACGTGATGCTGCCTAATTCCATGTTTTGGGGTGGACGTGGACACTGAAGACAACGATTTTTCTTTTCTTTTCCTGAACTTTGATACAGTCCCTTAGAGTTCAACTCTAGAAAACTTTGCCAACATTTGACAAATTGAACAAGATAGAATAAGCATGAGAGAGTTTAAAGCAGCACAAATTCACTTTTCAAGCGACGATTTCATAGCCGTCACCGTTGTTGTTGTTTAAACTGCCTATAAGCACTGCTCTGTTCATCCTTGCTGAGCTGCAAATGGTAATAAGACAGTGCACAGCATGCACATGTGCGGCTTATACATGCTTCGAATAGAGACATTAGAACAGCCTCACCTGCTCGATGAATTACTGGAAACTGGAGTATTAACTAATGGTATTTCTCCAAATGGATTATGGTGAGAGGGTTCATCATGCCTTCACCTGCCCTGCATATATTCCCCCTAAAAAAAGAGAATGGTTAACAACCAATTTTAATTATCACTACATCTCCTTGACTGTTAGTGTTTACTTAATTTTCATCTGTTTTATAGGTGAATCAAGAACAATCTGAGAATCTCTTCTCCCTTCCTTACACTTTGCTTCCTGCTTTGAATGAAGGATTTTTCACAGATATTACATTCACAGCTAGTAATGGTGAAAAGGTATTTTCCTCTATTAAAAATCACTATGTCTTTTCTTGCTAATGTTATAAATAATGGCGCAAGGTAGATGTCGCACAAATCGAAATGCCATGCATCCACTCTGTAAGAATACATTTTGTTTGAACATATTAAGAATGCTGGAAGCCCTTATGTTTATAAAAAAGCACGCTTTGTGCACCATACTGACTTTAAGTAAAATAAAATCCTCAGATTACAAGTGAGTAGCAAATGAAAGCCACTTTCATTATGCTTAATTCTTCTAATTTTCTCTTTTTGCATAAATTTAAATAGTATAAATTTTATTTTTAATTTTTAATGATTGAACTGTTTTGGAACAAAAACACAGGTGTACATAATAGTACGTGTAAACATAATAACTCCTGCATGTGTTTATCACTCTTAGATACTTCACTATATTATTATTTGATGTGACTCTTGTTGTGTACCTCTGTGACAAGTTTTAATATTCCTTTGTTAGTTGGAGAAAATTAATTAGCAATTAGATTTTATAGTACCCAAAAACATTCAAGCTCTTTGTCATGAAATAATATTGTAACATGGCTGGCTTTTGTAAGTCTATGACAATGTCAAGGGTTGTTTATTACCTACACTACAATCAAAAATTAGATGAACTTCCAATGCCAAGCTTAGGTGGTCTTTTACGTGGCTATTTTTTTACGTCGTCACATCGCTTTCCTCCTTGAATGGTGGAGCATTGTATAAGAAAATATGGCTGTGTAGAAGACTACAGATCAGACACATTTTCAGTATTATTCTGCCAAAAAGCATTACAAGGTGATTTGAAAAACGGTTGCTCATTAAAGCTGCTGCCTGTTCCCTCACAAATAAAAAACAACTGGCCCTCAAATAAAGTGGTTTTTTTTCCTTTTAGTTTCCAGCGCACAAAACTATCCTCTGCTGCTTTTTCACTGACATTTACAAATGGGACAAGATTCCTGCCTTCCTCACAGATCTCTCACCAGATGTTTTGCGTGCCCTTCTGCACTATATCTATACCTGCTGTCTGCCGAGGGACTTGTCCGAGGACACAGCAAAGAAGCTAATGAGAATTTCTCAATTAAATAGCAACGATGTTGGAAGTTTAGGAGAGCTGTGTGTAGAGTTTCTTGAAGCTACAGCTGTTAAAAACAGTGAGTACTTTTACAAGGTTCTTGAAGAATTTTGAGGCCTTAAAGATTTTTGACACTAAGTTGTGCTTAGAATAATTGAGCTCTGTGGACATGTGCAAAATTGCAACCCCCACCCCCTCCCCCCAGAAAAGCAAATTCGGTTATCACGTGTGGTGAAAATTTGCAAACAAATTTTATACATATTTTAACATAGACATATTGCCAAAGGCTTAGAGGTAAGGTAACAAGCGTTAAGCAATGATTATTTCATTATGGGTTGGGCAACCCAGAAGAGATATTAGAAGGGGTACACAGTACATTTATGTCATTTTTTCCATCATTTTGCTACAACCTCGAACAAAACCTGTCGAGACACATCCAAAAAATAGCATTTTTTTCCCCTGCCATCCACCCCAGAAAGGAAAACGTCATCAAATGAATGCGCATTTCCTCCCTCCCCTTATCCAACGTTGTTTAGGATAACACGAGAAAAATGCCCATTGGTTTTTAGACCAAAGCAACTTTGAATAGGGGGTGGAGAGGGGTCTTACTTTTTTTGTTTCAAGGAGATGGTAGTATGGCGCAAAGGTTAGAAAATAGATGAAACTGTCTCAAGAGTGTTTCCCGAGGTTGTTAAGCGCCAACCGAATAGAAGCTGTCCAATAGAATTTCAAAGTGTGATGTTGCATGATTGTGTTTCTTTACAGGGATTAAAAGTTTGATGAGTGAAATGTTTGCCATTCTGGAGCAAGTCTTGCAAATGACAGAATCTCTCGCTGCAGACCTTCGGCATAACAACACTCAAGCATACGCATTGATTGCTGGGACAACGAAGTCTGCACTGAAACAACTCGTAATAGGTAAGCAGGATTGACAGTGAAAGAGAGCTCGTGAGTTTTGCATCATAGAGGCCCTTTACACGGTTTTTTTTCGATGTCTGATTGTAACCAGCTAGCAAAAATCAAAAATTCGAATAGTAGGGGGCAAGTTGATGCCTTTTCTCCCTAAACATACAAGCTTCTGTAAACTGATTTCTCGACTTTGTGGAGCAATATTTTGGCTCCCTTTTAACGCACCGCCTTTAAACTTGGAAAGTTACCTAATTTCAAGGCGCTCTTTGTAGCAGTGTCAATGGATATTCGCAAACTGATCTTTATCAAAACTATAAAAAAAAATTGTGGAGGGTTCGAGGGTTGTTGTAGATGTTCTCGTGTGCTCATTGGCCGGCGGCGTTATATAGTCTTTACGATTACGAGAACAGTGGATCGAACCACAACGAAGCGATTTCTACTTTCTTTGTTTAAGACTTTGCTTAGCAGGAAAGCCTTTCGCCAATGGCTTGTAGTGTCAGGTTTTCAACATTTAACATCATTTCTATGACTTATAAGAGCGTGTACAAGGAAAATNTGCTTAGCAGGAAAGCCTTTCGCCAATGGCTTGTAGTGTCAGGTTTTCAACATTTAACATCATTTCTATGACTTATAAGAGCGTGTACAAGGAAAATTTGCTGTCTGCTTGTTGAAAATGGGTTTCATTCAAGAGCGGCAACTTACAAGAGCAGAGGTACATTTTAGTGATGAGCGATGCTTGTGTTATTTTCTCAGTTATGTTTCTTTTTTTTTTTTCGTTTTTTTTTATTTAGGAATTTTAAAGTTTACTTTACTCTGCGACATTTTTACTAAGCATAAATCTGATTTGTCAAGGGAAGAACGCCAGGAAATTATTCAGCACAGTAGGAAGAGGTAGGCAAGTGCTCGTAGTTCACAATTGCAGTGCTAAAAATGGATTTTACCGTAGACTCATTTAGCCTCAAAACACTTGTACAGTAATATCGGGAAGCGTTTGAAAGTGCCTTAATTTAGTTTAAATAGTTACATTGTAGTATTTTATCTATTGACGCGAAGGCGTAGGATTATACTGCGCAAACTCAAAAGTTAGAACCAGCTTGTAGAGTACAATTAACAGTACCAGAGGAAATTACCATCATTGAAATGGTTACTGCTAGTTTACCAGCTGTGTTGAGGCTTTTTTGGGCGTTTTGGCTTTCCTAATGTGGTATGTATATGCCTACTGACTCGTACATACTTTGTTGTTGTACAGGTTCATTCATTCAGTCAGTCAGTCAGTCAGTCAGTCACTCAGTCAGTCATTCAGTCATTCAATTACAGTGCTAAAAACTTATTTTTACCGTAGACTCATTTAGCCTCAAAACACTTTTACAGTAATGTCCGGAAGCGTTTGAAAGTGCCTTAATTTAGTTTAAATAGTTACATTGTAGTATTTTATCTATTGACGCGAAGGCGTAGGATTACACTGCGCAAACTCAAAAGTTAGAACCAGCTTGTAAAGAGTACAATTAACGGTTCCAGAAAAAATTACTGTCATTGGAATGGTTACTGCTAGTTTACCAGCTGTGCTCAGGCTTTTTAGGCGTTTTGGGTGTCCTTATGTGGTAAGTACATGCTTACTGACTCGTATATACGTTGTTTTTGTACAGGTTACCGAGTTTTGTGGAACTAGTTGAAACGTTCTTGGTTATTTTTCAAGCTTCTGTGTCTGGACTCAGTCGTTCTGATAAGGAGGAATTGGCTGTGCACATTATTCCTGAGGTAAATGTTGTTATTGATTCTATAGTTCCGATTTTGACGATGATTTTGATGATGATGATGATGATGGTGATGATGATGATGATGATGATGATGATGATTGTAACCTGAGTCAGGTTCTTGGATAATGGTGACTTCGCAAAACACGAGTCCCGCGCTTTTTGCGTGACACTTCTCACAATCTGCACATTGCTATCTTAGAGCCTGAAAATGGCTAATAAACCTTCTTTACGATACCTGCCATATTATAGAAAGTTCTTCATTCTCAGTTGTCTAAAATAAACAAACACAACCGCGATTTCTAGTATTGGCAGATTTTATCACTTGTTTGCTCCCTGGGAAACCACGTGATATTGCTTTTCACCCATCAGCCCTTAAGCGCGTGCAAAGATGGCGGGTATCGTGAATAAGGTCTATTGTAATTATGATGAAGATGACTATAGCAGCGTTGACGATGATGATGAAGATGATGATAGTGATGATGTAGGTGATGGTGGTGCTCCAGTAAGGATCGCAATAAAATGGCATCAGAAATGTAAACTTGCTTTCGAAGAAACACATTAAATATTGAAAATGACGTCCCAGTTAAAAGAGAAGCAATTCACTTTGTCTTCTCTAGAATTTGTCAATAACTTAAATCTTTCACTGTCTTTAGGATTCCACTTTTATGTAGAATATATGCATATTTTTTTCCCTTTATTAAAAGATTGAAAAGATGTGGCTGACATCCACAGAGCTGGGAGGTAATGCCCTCGACGCACTGGAAACTATCACAAAGAAAGCGGATAAAGATCATAAGAAGAAAACGCACCTCCCAAAGATGGCAACGTCTTTAAGTCGAACACTCAGAAATGTAAGTGAATTTGTCATAAAAGAGGGAACGAAGCTTCTTCTCCAGGGCTTCCAGTTCTTGGGGACAAAACCCTTTATGTGCAGTGATACTGCGTAGCCTCCCCGCAGACGTCCTTTGGGGTTCGTTTGTCACGCATGACAAACGAACCCCAAAGGACGTCTGCGGGGAGGCTATGATACTGCGCCAATAGCCAAAGTATGGATATTTTGTTGTCTTCGCGATAAGCAGCACAAAATCAAACCACTTGAAATACTCACTTCAGAAACTCTAGGGAGAATGGTACAAGCTGTGAGTGCAGTGATTTCTGGGATTGTTTGAGTGGACAAGCGTTACTTAACCAATAACCAATCATAAGTATCGCTTGCCCACCCAAATGATCCCAGAATTCGTAGCGCCAAAACTTTGTACCCATTTTCCCTTACA